TTTTCTTCCTTTTTACTACTCTCTACATTGTAGAGTCTCACTGAAGACATCAAATATGTGAAGCAAGATATATGGAACTATGTAGCAAATGAAAAACTGATAAATAACTCTAAACATGTCTTTGCATGCCACCCTTTGCTTTGTTGACAGTGCTGCCTTCTCCCAATGATGGAGTCACCTGAAATGGTTTTCACTTCACAGATGTGCCTTCTCAGGGTTTATTTGTGGACTTTCTTGCCTTCTAATGAGATTGGGACCATCAATTGTGTTGTGCAGAAGTCAGGTTGGTACACAGCTGACAGCCCTATTTGATAACTGTTAGAATTCATATTATGGCAAGAACCAATCAGCTAAGTAAAAAGAAACGACAGTCCATCATTACTTTAAGAACTAAAGGTCAGTCAGTCCAGAAAATTGCAAAAGATTCTGAATGTGTCCCCAAATGCAGTCGTAAAAAACATTAAGCACCATCAAACTGGCTCACATGAGGACGGCCTCAGGAAAGGAAGACCAGGAGTCACCGCTGCTGCTGAGGATAAATTCATCCGAGTCACCACCCTCAGAAATCGCAGGTTAACAGCGCCTCAGATTAGAGCCCAGATAAATGCCACACAGAGTTCCAGTAGCAGACTCATCTCTACATCAACTGTTAAGAGGAGACTGCACGAATCAGGTCTTTATGGTCAAATAGCAGCTAAGAAACCACTACTAAGGAAAAGCAACAGAAGCGGGGGATATTTGGTTGGGGGAAGAAACAAAAGGAATGGACATTAGAGCAGTGGAAATCTGTGTTTTGGTCTGATGAGTCCAAATGAGATCTTTGGTGCATGCATGGTTCCCACCATGAAGCATGGAGGAGGTGTGTTGGTGTGAGGGTGGTTTGCTGGTGACAGTGTTGGGGATTTATTCAAAATTGAAGGCACTGAACTAACACGGCTACCACAGCATCCTGCAGTGACATGCCATCCAGTTTAGTTGGACCATCATTTGGACAATGACCCCGAATACACCTCCAGGCTGTGTAAGGGCTATTTGACCAAGAAGGATAGATTGAGTGCTGCGCCAGATGGCCTGGCCTCCACAGTCACCTGACCTAAACCCAATAGAGATGGTTTCGAATGAGAGGGATGGCAAAGTGAAGGCAAAAGGGCCAACAAGTGCTCAGCATCTCTGGGAACTCCTTTAGCCTGTTGGAAAACCATTTCAGGTGACGACCTCATGATGCTCATCAAGAGAATCTCAAGAGTGTGCAAAGCAGTAATCAAAACAACTACTTTGAAGAATCTAAAATATAAAACAGTTGAGTTATTTCACACTTTTTGTTTATTACATAATTACGTATGTTTTCATTCATAGTTTTGATGCCTTTGGTGAGAATCTACAATGTAAACAGCCATTAAAATAAAGAAAACCATTAAATGAGAAGGTGTGTCCAAACTTTTGACTGGTAGTGTATATACACATCTTCTCGTGAAGTATGTCTCATTAAAAAAAGATCCGGCTCTGTAGAAGCACGACTTGAATTAAAGGTTACAAATCATGAGTCGGAAAAACTTTGAAACACGAGAAGAATAATTCCTCTTTGAAGATGGATTGCTGAAGGTATTTTAAAATAGCAATACGATTCCACAACTGAGGAGACTTGTTTGCAAAGCCACGAAAAAAATAACACACAAGGCCTCAAACCATACAATAAATCTCATTTCATAAAACAAGCTGTTTTCAAAGTCACAGAAACAAAAATGTGACCTGGTCAGATTCCCTTGTTACATTTTGTGAAATAAACACTGTGCTGTGGGACCACGGGAATATGTTGGATTGCAGAGCTGCCAAAAACTGTGAAAGAAGAACGGATTTAAATGAAACAGAATAACATCCTGAACAGTAGAGGCTTTAAAGAAGGTAAGTGGCTCAGAGTAAATCTCCTTAAGAAAAAGAGAAGGGTACTGATTTGATAAAAAAAAAAAAAAAGGTGGGTGGATATGTCTCAAACTATCCATGAAGCAGAGCAGGGGTGAGAGACTTCAAAAAACTTCTGAAATGTGCATCTGGTTCAATACAGAGATTGTCCATTAAAACTGAGTTTGATATGATTTCTTTCCTGGCTAATAAAAATATTTCTAAAAATCTGAGTTAAAACATGAACTCTACTACATAAATGTTCAGAGAACATAAACTACAACGAGCACGTAATATCACAACTGAAGTCCAAAAGCAGCTAAAGAAATAAATACCAATAAGAAGCAATAAACATGTTTTACCTGCAAGTGTACCAGACTCGTCCTGCTTGGCCTTGGTGGGCGAGATGAAGTTCTCAGGACAAATGGCTGACACTTTGTCACATCTTCACTCTGCATTTTCTTCAGCGTCTCTGTCTGCAAGGCCTTGTGCAACATGCTGAAATCAGGGACCTCGTGGATGATTTTTGGATGGAAACTAGGCTTCTCATCCAAAAATCTCAGTTTTTCTTTCCTGGTGCGCTCTGCTGTGCGAAGTTTTGGGCCATTCCGAGTAGGATTCTCCTCCCTCGCAGTCGCCTGAGAGCGGACTTTCCTGCAGACTTCCTCCTGGTCTAAATAAAGTTAGACAGGGTATACACTGTAGCCAATTCACTGCCTAGAGTGTACTGTATGCATGCACAAATATGATACAATAACAGTTGAAATCTTCCATTTAAAAACTCTTAATGAAAGTTTGAAGAAACACAGATCAAAATCAGCCAATCACCCAGTTTGCTTCCAGTGAGGACAAAGAAAATCTTCACTTTCGAACAGCTTCACACATAAGCACTGCTACTTTTGTGGTGTTCTATCAAATGCTGCTAACAAACTACTCAAAACTGATCTGAATCAACTAGGTTTTTTCTTTAAAGTTTTACATGAATGTCAAAAGAAAAAGAAAACATTAGACACCACTGTGTTAAAGGGTTTTTACACTAAATTTGATTCCTTAAAAAATTCACAATGTCTAATGTTTATGTTTATTAAAGTGTAGCATGGCTTCCTTCAGATTTGTGGGCTTCATTACTATTTCTGCATGATTTTGGTCTTAATTCATTATTTGATCTCAGAATTTTGCCAGTTCAAGCTTTTATAGTAATTACTCTGGCTGTTTAAAACTTACTTATATGCAGCCTAAGACAAGAAGTCACAGGAATGCTTTACCTGGTTCCAAAGACCACAGCCCAGTTACATGAATACTCAGTACTCTTTCTAATTCATCTGTTCATAAAACCAAACCAAGTCAGAAACGGAAAACCAACCTTTTGTCTCAGGGTCTTGGGAGTCTTTTATTTCTTTCGGAGATGGTTTTGTAACTCGAACACCATTTTTCAAATCTTGCTCGACCTGGTTTAACCTCGCAAGCAGTTTCTCCCTTTTCTCCTTTTCTCTCTGCAGGAAGCTGAAAGGCTTTTGAATGGAAAGCAAGAACTGCTTCCTCTGTTCGTGGGCCTCCTTCCTCTCCTTTTCTCTGTGCTCCATCATGTCCTGGTAGATGGGCTGAATGATGTGGCTGGGGACAGGAAGAGCAGAGAACTTCTTCTGACACTCAGCCTCGGCTTCCTCCTCTTTGATTAGCTGTGAAGTTTTAGCTAAAGGAAACCGCTCAGTCCTGACAGAACAAAGCTTCCCATCTGTTAAAGATAACCAGGCTGGAGAGGATGAGGTGTCGGGCCTCTCTGATTGTAGGTGTTTGTGGGAAGTGTTTAGGATTTCTGAAGAAGATCTTGTCATCCTGTAAAACAGTACAGCTCTTTGAAATAGGTCAATTTTAAGTGGACGAAAGCAAACAAAATAAGATAATAATATGAGGTAACATACTCTGTCGGGTTTTTACTTGAATCAGCTGACAGGTGAGCGTTCTGCTGAATCCTCTTTTCCAGCTCCTCCGTCTGTATCCTTTCTGTCTCCTGCAGCTGCTGTTTCAGGGCCTCTCTAAGAGCCTTAAGATGCAGCTGGAGCATTAACTCTGATTGCAGTCCATCCTCCAGCAAAGTATCCAGCTTTAACTTATCGTTCATACCTGTGATATTGAAAAGAAAAAAAGAGAAAAAAGAGATTTTTTTAATCTTGTGAATATCTATGTTGACTAGGAGCTGATATGCTTAATTTAATATTTTATTTGTCTATTGATAAAAACTATGACAATCATTTTGATAATTGACTCATAGTAGATGTCAACTGTTAGGAAATTCAATTCAACTTTATTTGTATAGCCACACTTTAAAACAATATTTGTTTCAAGGTGTTTTATACTGTAAGGTGAAGACCTTTCAATATTAGAGAGAAAACCCCAACAATAAGATCAGCCCCTGTGAGCAAGCACTTGGTCACTGGTGGGAGGAGAAACTCTCTTTTAACAGGGAAAGATATCCAGCAGGACCGAACACAGGAAGGGGCCAACATTTGCAAAGACTGGTTAATGGATGAGGGGAAAGAGAAGGGAATAGAACCTAGAGAGACCACAAACAGGACCAAAAGAAACTACAGGACTCAGTCAGTACCTAGTGTGTCTGTCTCCTGAACCCAAACTGGAAGATGGTTAGTTGGAAAAAAGTGAAATACTTTACTGAAATAATGTGATACACTATAAGGACAAAAGTACTGGGACAGCTACACATTACACATATACAAATTAATATATAAATAGTAAACAATATATGTGTGAATAACGTGTATGAGAGCAATGTGTATTTCTTCATTGCAATTAAAAACTGTTTTTCTTGCTACTAAAAAACTCTGCTGAACACGTTTCTCTAAGGTCTTTCTTTTTAGTAATCACACAAAATTCATGAAATAAACAATAAGGAAATTAGGATTTGTTCGTACGATAAACTGAGAAGGGGAAAATACAATCAAATAACTCTAATCAACGCAAATAAAAAATTCCTGCATCCACGGACTACATTGCACATGCGCTCTGCTCTCAGTGTATGAGCTGTGTAAATTGGTCACTATGGCAACCACGCTCTCAGCGGAACATCGATATGGTTGTATGTGTTTAGGATTAATAGCGCTTGTTTCAATACGATTTATACTTTTTTTCTATACAAACAAACTTCCTTTTCATCTTCTGCTGCTTAAGTTCCCGTTAAATACCAATATAATCACAGAAAAATCAACCTGAGAGTACTAATGAGCTGCCAACCTGGGAGCAGACGAGTTTTAACAAGTATTTCACGGCGTCGAAGATTCCTCCAAACGCTCAGTAGTTGCAGTACAGTTTGTTTGTTTAGCTAATGACTCCCGAAGTTGATACAGTTCTTTGTATCCCACCAGAAGAGAGGTTTTAGAGTTTTTAGCCAGTTGTCAGTGCTGGTAGCTTTAGCGCTGTTTGTGGTCAGAGGCAGAAACGCCACCCGCGGAAATTGCCTTCTGTGATTGGTCGTAAAACCGGAAGTACTTCCTCTTGCAGCGTTTGTCAACACAACATGGTTGTTGTGTCACAGAAGAGTCACCGTTGGTCTTAGAAGGACACATTCAAGGGGAAACGTCTGTCTCTTTAATTGTTGTATGACACTCTTCAAAGCCCGACCCAGGACTGTTTTCCTTTGTTTATCCAGAGGCTTCGCTCTCATGCGAAGACAGACTGAAACATGCAGAAGCTCACGATGGCGTCGCTGGCCTTAAACGGACTCAGCCGGTGTTTTGTAACAGAAAAGCATTTATCTGCTATAAAAATCACCAGGCGAGGATTAGTATGTGCAGATCACGGGAATGATGTTTATGATATAATTATATCCGGGGGAGGGATGGTTGGATCTGCAATGGCATGTTCCTTGGGTGAGTGCTCGACTAGTGTTGCAAGACTTTGCTGTTAACTTGTCCAAATCCAGATTAAAGTTGGTGTGCAGAGTAGCAGTGCACTCTTTCTCTCACAGAGAGGGAATGTCACTTTCTACTATACTGGAAAATATATCTCTAAAATGTGCTGGAGTATTAAAACATGTAGTCAGAGCTCTAAATCAAATGATTGCATCCGCTTCACAGGACAACGAATCCAATTGCAGGTTCATTACACATGTTTAATCTTACACATGTGCTCTCATATTTAAACTATTTTATATATTGTATGCATTTACTTTCCATCCACAGGTTTGGATCCAAACTTGGAGGGTAAGAAGATTCTGCTGCTTGAAGCCGGCAACAAAAAACTAATGGACAAAGTCCCTGACACCTATAGCACCAGAGTTAGCTCCATCAGTCCAGGCTCCGCCACACTTCTCAGTGGTACAGTATACAACCAAATCTGAACAGAATCTGCTTGGAAAAATGTAGCAAAATATAATCCTGAGTAATTTCCTTTTTGTGACAAGTTTGTTGTCCTTGACTACTAAATGGCTCCCACAAGGTAAGCCAGGGATCAGACACTGGCTGGTCACCCATTTTTAGCAGGGATCGTGTTTAACCTCAGTTGTTCCTTTTGTAATGGATCACCTGAGGTTTTTCCTAGCAGTGTTTTTTCCCTGTAGTACAGCTAAGAATGTGAGGTTTGGTCCAGCCCAAACTGCAGTTTAAATATGTCTCCTGAGCTTAAAGAAGTCAAAAGCCAAGGAAAAGGAGAGTCAGGGATTTGACACTGTAATTTCAGTTGGGCTTGATGGGCTTGTTTTTTAAACATAGTCTTTGTCCTAAATTACCACTTCAGGTCTTGAATCCATTAAAAATAGCTGAAGGTGGTCATCAGAACTTTTTCTTTTTCTTTCGGCTGGTCCCTTTAGGGGTCGTGGCAGCATCCCACCCTATTCCTAACATCCGTTTTTGTCACAACAACCCTCTGCATGTCCTACTACACTACATCCATGAATCATTTTTGTGATCTTTCTTTTTTTTCTTCTGCCTGGGAGTTCCTCTATTAATGGTTTTCACCTATCCAAAACATTCTTTCCTGTCTAACTTTGTCTCCAGACCGCTCAACCTTAGCTGTCTCTCTGATATAATCAATTCTGATCCTGTCCATCCAGATCACTACCAATAGAAATCTTAACATCTTCAGTGCTATCACCTCTAGTTCAGCTTCCTATTTTTTCCCCACCATTTCCAAATCATACATCATAGCAGGTTTCACTACCACCTTGTAAACCTTCTGGAGAAACAATCCCCCAACAATCAAGCGACCCACTATGAGCAAGAACTTGGCAATGGCGGGAACAATAAACACCCTTTTAACAGGAAGAAACCTCTGGCAGAACCAGGCTCGAGGTGGGACAGCCATCTGCTGCGATCGACTGGTGGTTGGGGGATAATATGTGTTAGGATGTCACAAATCACACATCCAGGGAAGAAGCCCTGCAAATCAATGCAAAGTTGTTCTGAGTGATCACCTTTTTATTATAACTAAGCGTTTTTATTCCCAGTGGAGTTGTTTCTTCCAGAATGACAATGCCGCCACCCATAGGGCAGGAAGGGTCACTGAATTGCTTAGTGAAGATGGCATTGACATAAATAATATAATGTGGGCTTTGCGGCCACAAGATCTCAGCTTAATTACACACCTATGGAAGATTTTAGACTAGCGTGTTAGGCAGCATGCTCAGCCACCGTCATCAAAACACTGAATAAGGGTATATGTTTTGAAAGTATGGTGTTTCACCCCTGCAGTAAATTTCCAGTGACTTTCTTTTTTAGAATCAGTCGAAAGCTGCATTTAAGATGTTCTAGATTTAATGTGGTGCAACAGCTTATTAAGGTAGCTTGTTAGTTTTTCTTTCAATATGTGACATGTCTGTAAGTTAAACCATATTTATCCAGGTTCAGGTCTACACATGCCAACCTCCTAACTGTCTGCCTGGTAGACTATGCAGTCCAGTGTATGAGTGTGTGTGATAAACATTATTTTTGCAGGTGCCAGAGACAAACCCTAAAGTTTGTCTTAGCATCTTAAATTAAGTCCTTCACATATCTTATTTGTGTTTTCAGTCACAGTGACCCATTAATAAACTTTTCCTCTCCAATCACAGACTTTTATTTTGACTGTAGTGTCAATAAAAATGTTGAATGCGGCGGTGCGATTTGAAAGGGTAAATGTGAGACGTCAAGTTTGGCTTTGCCCGCGACTGACACCTGCACAAAAAATTAAAAGGTTACTAAAAACACACAGTGACTGATGAGAGCTCAATGAATGATCTGTGCCATCCTTTAAGCACTTTATAATGTTATGTTTGATGCCTCTGCTTTAATTAATACTCCTGAACAAAGGAAAAATGCACCCACAATCCAACATCTGCACCTGATTGTTGATCCTGGAGCTGCCAAAAGTGTCAGTCCTTAACCCTAGTCACAACATTCTGCACATTATGCAAACGTGCATTCATTTTTGTTATATTTACTTCCAAAGTATGACTATGATTATTTATCCACACACATAATTTTTTTTTCCCCATTACTGTTAATTGCTCTGAAACGTGCAGAGAAAAACACTGAGGCGCAGAAAAATCCAAACTTCCCTGAATCAGTCTGTGTGAGTCATCTGTGGATCTCTGAATGACTTCACAAACCACATTTGTCCAATCTGACCTCTTTCTTTTGTCAGGTATCGGAGCATGGGAGCACATCACAAAGATGAGGTTCAAGCCCTATAAAAAGATGCAGGTAGGTCAATCTTAAAGTTAACATTGTTAACTGTGAGTATTCCTTGAGCCTTCTTTAACACGGACGCATCTCCCCGAGTCGTCCTGTTGTCCTGTTGCACCGCTCGGCTTTTCCTTCTCACGTCCTCCAGACTTTGTAATTTACTGGCATACTGGATGTATTTCTGTCATCCATCAATCTCGACACTGTGCAATTTGTGGAGAGAAAAATCTGTGACGCTCAGCCTCCGCTCAGTCATTCTTAATAACCAAGGAACACAACACTCAATGTAATTGTTCTCATTAAAATGCCAAGTGGTGGTTTCGCGTGACATGCATTTCGTTCATTCCTTTGTGCAGTTTATGCCCCTTCGGTATCACCGCGCAATCTATAGCACCCCAAAACATCAAAGAACACAAGGCATATTTAAAAGTACAGGATGGCTCTCTGACCATGCTAGTTCTATTTATTAAAACTATGTTTCCTACGAGGAATACATTATTTTGACATTTTCAAATTGGTATACCCCCCCCAAAAAATCCTCTAATTATGAAGATTCATGTGAACAACGGGAAGAAGATGAAAGATTAGGAGAGTGGTTGTTTGCTGCAAAGTCGAGCCCGCTTTACAGCTGTGGGTGCAGCCTCGGTCCCTCTTGTAAGATGTGGTCGGTGTGTACCAAACACTCGACCGCAGGGTTTCTCTCTGGGCCTAAGATGTCATCATGCAGTGCCTCACAGTGATTATGGTAGTGTACCTCACCCATTATACCTTCACTCAGCTACCACTGTTTTGGCTTGTTTGCCCATTGAATTTCAGTCATATACATCCCAGTCATAGCACTGGAAAGTATGTTCTGCAGGTCAACTGTAGAAAGCAGGCTTTCCCTGCATTAAAGTAGGCGACGAGGGTTTAGATTTGAAACACAAGCAAACAGTTTGTTTCTTTTTCTTCCTTTCTGTCTTTTTTTGCTA